CTCGCTGTGCTCCTAAGGCTGCCTTGTGATGCTTCTGCACCCGGCAAAACTTCAGCATCCGGCTACACGGGCCACCTCCTCTGCTGCTGCAGCCTGTTGCAGGTGGTGCCCCCGTGGTGCGTGCTCGCTGTGGGCAGAGAGCTCACTCTCCGCCCTCCTGGCAACTCCCGTGCCACGTCAGCCTCTCACAGGAGAGCTGCCAATGGGATTTGGGTTATGCCGCTCTCTTAGGGTTTTCCTGTTGAAGGAATCTCCCGAAAACCCCCCTCTACCTCTCAATCAGTCGATCTGTCGGAGCTGGGTCGGCTCCAGATGAAACCTACTCCAGATGATAGGCTGCTTCGTATGGATGAAACAATCCCCTGCAGAGGGATCTAGATAGATTGGAGCATTGGACTGTGATTAATGGGATGAAATTCAACAAGTCAAAATTCCAGATTCGGCACCTAGGATGGAGTAATGCTGGGCACAAACATAAACTGGGAGAGGAGTTTCTGGAAAGCAGCCCTGTGGAAAGGGATCTGGGGGTGCTGGTTGACAGCAGACTCGGTATGAGTCAGCAGTGTGCCCTGGCAGCCAGGAGGTGAAAGGGCTGGAAGGAATGTCCTGTGAGGAGCAGCTGAGGACTTTGGATTTGTCTGGTTTGAAGAAGAGGAGGCTGAGGGGCAACCTCATTGCCCTCTACAGCTTCCTGAGGAGGGGAAGTGGAGAGGGAGGTGCTGAGCTTTTCTCCCTGGTATCCAGTGATAGGATGCATGGGATGGTTCAAAGCTGAGCCAGGATGGTGTCCAGTCTGAACCTGATTGGACGTGAGGAAGCATTCCTTTATCAAGTTGGTGGTCAAACACTGGAACAGGCTTCTTAGAGACTTGGTCGATGCCCAACACCTGTCAGTGTTTAAGAAGCATTTGGATAATGCCCTTAGGAACATGCTTTAACTTTGGTGAGCACTGAACTGGTCAGGCAGTTGGACTGTAGGTCCCTTCCAACTGAAATAGTCTATTGTATTTTAATCCCTGCTGGTAAATGTTCCACTCTTTTGATAGGTACATTATCTATTTCACCAGAGTTTTTTTCAGGCAGGCACAGAATACTATCAATATATGCAAATTCCAATTCCTGGTTACCAAGCAATGACTCAGCTAGCTGATTGCAGTCTAAAACTGATGCCTTCCCTGTCTCCAGATTTTGCTATACTGGCTCGTGCTATGGCAATCCAATTGATACTAATGCTTCTTGATTGCTACAAAGCCTGTTGTGCCAAATTGTAGGCAGCAATTTGTTGTCAGAATCAGTATTCTGCGTGCACCAGCCTGTAGCCAAGGAACTCATTAGATTCCAAGGCTGCAGAGGTGAACGGGCGGCTGGTGCATCTGTGGAGAGATATGGAACAGCAATTCATGTCGTTTACTGGGATGGTATTTCTGTAGGGCCTTAATGAGCCAAAAGATTTGCAAGCCTGAGAATGACACTGAAACTTCTGTGCTTAGAACTATTTCTGCTGTGGAAAATCCTATGATTTAATTCTCTTGACTTTGGGAAATATGATCCAAGTATAGTCAAACCTAGTTAAGTCAATCTTGGCTTGTCCAGATGTGCAGGTACTAATAGGAACCAAAATTTTGGCATGAGTTTAAATGCATGTGTAGTAAGAAATCCCAGACTGATACTAGTGCATCAAATTTACTGTGGATACTGATCCCCTCTGAGGCAGATTTCATTGTATTATTTTGTTTTGTTTTCACCTAACTGATTACAAAACATTGTGTGTGTACAGTGTTACAGATTTTTAATTAGTGATACATGATAACTTAGGAATACAGTGCTGCAGAATGTTGACAAAGGAACTACAAAGTAAAGGATTCCCATTTGTATATAAATATTTGTTTCCCCCAAGCAAATCAGAATGTTGTTATTCTTCATTATAAAGTGTGTTCTGCAGCTATAGTGTTCTTATTCCAACAAGGATGATTAAAGAAGTACATGGCAATGGAAGAATAGGCTAGCTGATGCTTCCAAAGCAAATAAGCAACATTCGGTCACTAGCATCTGAGTAAATAGATTGATGAAAATTAAATCAAAAAAACTGAGGAAAAGACCATTTAGGTCATCTACTTCATTGTTGTTTCCTAGACTATGTTCTCAGTTACTTGTAGATATCCCAAGCACTACAGCTGCCAAAATGTTCCTTTGGTATAGTTGTGCAGGCTAATGGATGTTTAGGAGTTTTCCCAAGTTATACACAGCTTTAATTTTCTTTTGTTTACTGTCATCTTCTTAATTTCTCTTTTTATAGATCATGTTAAAACTTTCTTTTTTCTTGATTCAGAAGGAAAACTTGCAAGCAGAAGTAAAAAATTGTGATAAAATTATTCTCAATGTCCTGCTTTTGAAAACAAGTATAAGAAATTTAACAAAAATAAATTGTAAAATATTCTCTCCTTTTTTTTTTTCTTTGTCTTATGGCTTAGATCAGTACCAGACTTCTTAAAACTGTTTAACAGTAGTTCACTAAATTTTTGTTTTAAGGCATCATGCTTTGGTCCAGAAAGAAAAAGACATCTGAAAAAAAGTCTTCAGAAAGTTAAACGTTGTTGTTAATATTATTCTGCAAATATCATTGATCACACTACTGCCTGTGAGAAGATGCTGAATCTAGCAGCCTGGTATAGGTGATGCTGATGCAGCTCCATGTCGCCTGACCCAGGCAGTAGCAAGGTTGAGCATTTGTTTCTGATAGGCACATGTGTGCATGTACACACAGTATGTATAGGCATATACACATGGCCAGTGACACAGATTAGCACAAACAGAAAATGCAGCACTTGCACAAACACCAGCTGCTTCATCCTGTTCCCCTCTCTGGTTAACGAACATGAAATCCCATTTGTGGAAAATACATGCACTGTAAACATACATAAAATATTGATGTCACCAGTACCTGGTCTGAGACACCCAGGTCTGTCCAGTATCTGGCCCCTGAATGCCTTGTCTCCCCAGTTACTGACAACTGGACATCCCCAGCTGCCTCGTGCATAGAGATACACACGTGTAACAGGTCTCCTCACAAGCAAGTCCAGACCTATGTTGCTTTACACCAGTAGCCATTTGCTCAGACCTGTTGGTCTCTCCTGTAACCAATTCACAGACCTAGTATCCAGCCAAGACTTATGGTCACATCAGCACCTAGCTCCTAAGTCTTTTATCCTAATCACTGGCTTGTCTGGCTTGGTGCTCACCTGCTCAGTATGCACACACTCCAGTTACTCCAGTGGCTGGCAGTACAGGCACATGGATGTCTGAGTCCCACTGCTGAGACTTAGACCACCATGCACACAGGGATGCAGAATGGACAGCCCCTCACTCAGGAGAACAGTCCGGATGCTCATCCCTGGTGTGGCATAATGAGCCCTGTATCCCTGTGTGCAGCAACCCTGCTCAGTTATCTGCAAAATTATCTGGGGGGGCCTCTCCCATTGACTATCTGGTAGGTCTCACTTGGGCCATGGACTGATTGCTCTCCTGTGACAGCCCAGGGAGGAGCTGGGGCAGGGGCTCCACTGGCTCTGACTAGGTTATTGAGATTCCTCTGCCTCCTGTTTTTTCTCTCTGCTTCTTTACATGTACTGAGATGAGCCTTTAATCACATAATCTAATGCTGCCCTAATCCTCTTTTCTTAGAATATCAAGCTACTTGGTACCAAGACCTTAATAAGCAATAAAATCTTTTGCGTTGCAAAGAAGTGCCATTTTAAGATCTAGGATCATGCTGCAACTGGAATATTGGAATGGAGTTGGTGGACTCTCTGTAGCAGTTCTTGGAAATGGCATCCCATTAACTTTTCCATTATGGTGTGTGGAGAAAGCTTAGTAAAAGACATAAGAATGCTTTTACAGCCAAACTGATCATTACTCAACGGCTGGAGAGTAAAACCACGTGTGAATGGAATACTGATTAAACAGGTTTTTAATTTGTTTGTTCCACAATAGCAATTTTTATAGAGTCTTTGTTTACCTGGAATCAAAACCAATCGGAACTGTTTGTTTTCAATGGAACCAAAGCAAATTTAGTCATAGCTAAACCCAAATTGGGACAAAAGATTACAGTTTGACTCCTTGTTTCTAACACCAAATGCATTTGGTAGCATTTCCTCTTCCAAACAAAAATAGAATTGAAGATCTCAGCCTTCTTTTCCATTACCAAATACACTGTTAATGCCTTCAGCTGAGAGCTCTCTCAGGACTGTAAATTTTCCTTCACAGCTCATGTGATATAGTTTCCAAATACAATTAACCCTTTAGCACTTCAGTTTTCTAAGATGTGACTGAGACAGCAGTGATTGAACTTAGCTTAGATCTGTGGCTTTTATTATGTTTGAGTCTGGAGTTGAACCTGAGAAACACTGTTAAGACTGTGGAGGGAGATCAGATAATGCAGTAACTCCCCCCAAAAAAGCTAAAGTGGGACGAAGAATTGGTTATTCCGTGAACAAAAAATCAGAAATCCTAAAAAACAGACTGAGGAAAACTAAAACTTGTATCAATAGTAGAGAGCATGAGCTAATCCCTGTATTTGTTCTTCTGGATCATTTTATGTGTCTGTTTCTTTTGATGTTAAAACAGCGATTATGGATATGAACGTCACAGCAATGGGCAGTGTTTGCCAGCATTTTGGTATAACCCATCTTCCTTATCGAAAGACTGTAGCCTTGGACAGAGTTATCTCAACAGTACTGGGTAAGTGGCACACCAGATTTTATTTAGTGTGTGATTTTATTTAGAGCACCCATATGGACTTTAACCTATTGATAACTACAGGCTGAATTTACTGTAGGTGTCTCAAAGCTGGCTGAAGGCCTTGGAACCTTTTCTTCTATGAGTTTGTCAGGGTGTGCACCCTGGCCCTGTAGATCTCCATCATGTCTTGTCCAGGCCTTTCCCTGAAAAATGATGCCTTAAAGAATCTTGGGGAGAGGGATGGGACTGTAAGGCAAAGGCCAATTCATTAAAGGCTCTGAGAAGACTCCTGTTAAAATCATGTGGGATCAGGTGAAGCAGAAATGGTGGAAAACAAATTAGAAGAAAGAGATGAAACTGCTGTGTATGTGAACTGAAGTAATAGATGGGCAGCTAGCCTGAATGCCGATTGTTCTTTGGCCCTCTTGGAAGTCAATGGAAGATGTAGTTTAAGTTAAAATACCGACCTCAAACTTCATTTCTGATGCAAATGATTAAAGCAAACAAAGGAACCCAAGCTGTGTTTTGACATTTAATGCACTTAAAGATAGGCAGAATTTTCATTTTTCTTCATCTCTCTTATTTCTGTAGCTCACAAGGTAGCATCTTTACAGAGCTGCCTCACAACTGATGAGAAGTGGAGTATGTGAGAAAAGCTCTTAAACTATGATTAATACTATAATAATTGAATACAATTCCATATTGTATTTATTTATAACTTTATTGTTATTTAACACGGAACATAGTTCATCAAATAATTTTATATTTTATGCAGTTTATTAGTATGTGGTATATAGATGTGCTATGTAGGAAAAAACATGCCATCAACAGCAGTTTTAACTACTTGTATGTTAGGCACATGAGGAATATTTGTCTGAGACAAATGCTAAAATATATTGGGAATCTGTTTTCTTCTAGTCTTCTTAGTCTAAAGAAAATGCAAAAAATGCCTCCTTGTTCCCAGTTAGCCCTGTTATACTCCCTGTCAGTAGATTTCTGTTTTCCTCTGCAGGTACCGGAAGGTTGTTTCTAATAACTGCACGGATGGTGTGAGAGAACGGTACACAGCAAAACCACAGCAATGTCCTGGCAAAGCCCCTCAGGGCCTTCGCATAATCACATCTGATGGCAAACTGACAGCCGAACAAGGACACAATGTCACTTTCCTGGTGCAGCTGGAAGAGGTAGGCTCTATTTTTATGTTGCATCCCAGGCCCCATGGGTGTGTTTGAGTCTGATTCATGTCAGACAAAGTTTGCAAAGTAGTGAAGAGGTGAACCAAGAGAGTGTGGGATAAAGTCAGTGAGCTCCACCGTGTAGCTGGGGTGGAGTTTGCTCTAAAATGTAGTGGATGATGTATGGAGATGATGAGACTGGAAGAGTATTGTGGTGCATTGGTAAAAACTGGGAACTGGTTTGTTTCAGGAGTTTCACAGTAGAACTGGAAAGTGCAGGTTTGAATCCTGACCCCCACCTTTTAACTCTGCTTTTGACTTCTTGCTGTGTTTGAAACTGAATTTCCATTTTTACTTGCTACTGACTTTCAACAAAACATGGCTAAAAGTAGATATGCAGATAGCACTAGTTGGTACATACTGTTTAGGCATTTGTGGCTGATGTCATCATCAGCGTTAAGTCTGAAATTGATTGCAAATGTGAAGCTGATTCAGACTCTGATCAGAGCCCATTTTTTGTTACATATGTAACTTGGTGTTTCACTGTTCTGCTCCCTCCATTTCTGAATCCTTAGAGAAAAATGTTTAAAATCTTGTTGCCTGTTTTTTCTTTTCAGCACTTCATTGTGTTTAATTGTAGGCTCCCAAATAATAAAATTTGCAAAGTAACTATTTTCTCTTTTCCCTAATCCAATTTGATTTCTTTACACTTCTACCTTTTTTCCTGTGTAGCTTGCCAATAAATCCTAAAACAACTATGCTTTTATACTAGGGCACAATGTACATCCCTTTACAGTTTAGAGCATTCACGGAAATTACTTCTGGTCCTCTCCATAGTAAATGTCATCTGCAGTGAGGAAAGAGGAATGAGGATGACCTCTGGAGCTGAGTTTTGTAGGGGGTGTGTTAGGGTTTTCACATCTTTACTCTTGATGCTTTCCCCAGCAAATGTGTGTCCTGATTCGTAAAGGCAATAACGTATAATAAATCATATCTAACCTGAAGCAGTTGTTTGACCTGAATGTTCATTTTCTCCAAAATGTGGTCGCTTTATTTCAGTAATGACAGTCATATAATGTTGCTGCTAGAGATGCTGTCATAACAGTATAAACACATAATTTTGTCTGGATAAGTTATTGATTTCTGTGTTTAAAGATGAAGAATAGGAAGTCCAAAAGAAGATTCAGAGTCTTCAGGCTTTTTTAAAAAAAATTAAAAAATAAATCAAGAAAGGTGTTCCTGTATACCCACAAAAAAGTGTTCATTGCATTGCCTTTCTATTCTCAGGAAAGTTTTAAAACAGATTGAAAGAAGGGATGAGCAATCTGAGAAGTCAGTCACAAAATTATCACAGAATTATGCCAATAGTCAGAGGGAGAGACAATCACCCACGGTGTCGAAAACTCAGGACAAATGGACCGCTCTTCCTTCTCTGAGCATTTGAATTCGCATATCCTGTAAGAATGACCTGAACACTGTTATACAGGGATCTCCTGTGAATCATTCTCTTTTCCGTTTATTATGATCTTTTTTGATAACCCCACCCCATTATTCACCAGAGTCTGGAAGCAGCACCTTCTCCATTAGGAGATGGAGTCTTTCTCATGCTGTGTATCAGGGAGTAGGTAAAGTATGTTTTGATGAGTGAGTCAGCTTCTGAGGATATCTAAAGGGGGGCCTTTTTCAGTATATCTGATAAGGAAGAGGTTAGGAGTTGCTCTGAGGGCTGAAACAGTATTAATCAACCTACAGCCTTTGTGATTACTCACCCTGCTAGGTGATTCTTGACCTCCTGCTCCTAGATTGGTCAAAGCACAGAGTTCACAGAGCAGCCAACAAAACTTTTGAGTGAATTTGACCCATTGTGACAATGACTTTGGGCTGACATTGCAGCAAAAGAAATATTAAACAAAGAAGAAAATTTGACAAGCTATATGCAAGCTATAGGACAATAAACTGTGGTTATGGCAGCATAGCTGTATATACACTAAAGCATTTACCAAATTACTTGTTTCAGTAATAAAAATGACACCACTCACTAGAAAAGTTAAACAACCTAGCAAAAGAACAGCCACCCTTTTATAGAATAGATATTGATTTCACAGAATCACAGAATGATTGAGGTTGGAAGGGATCTCTGGAGATTGTTTAGTCCAACTCCACTCAAAGGGAAGTTTCTTTCCCTTGCAAACAAGGCAGAGATATCATAAAACAAAAACTTACAATTTTCTGTTTAGTTCTACCCTGCACACGTATACAGCATAGTCCAATCCAGGATGTTCAGCATCCACAAAATCTGTGCCACTCCATTTTTTGCTGAAGAGGAGGCATTGGGCAAGTTAAAAAAGGCTGGATATATCTGTGTATACATGTGCCGTTCATGTGTATACATGTCCTATTCAACCCTTACCCCCTGGAGATGTGGTCAATGTTTTTAAGTGCTTCACCCTGGTAGGGACTCTTCCTTTAGCTTATGTCACAGGTAATATCTTTTAAAGTTGTAAAAAAACAGTGGCTTTTGCTTATGGTGGTAGTCCCTTTGCACCTTAACATCTCTTGTATCCCTCTGAGACTGTTTGAAGCCTTCAGATCTGCAGAGCTGTTCCATACACCACAGCCTCCCAGTTCTTTTTTCATACTTACGTTCCACTTGGCCTGCAGGAAAAAAAAAAAAATTATAAGAAGCTGGTGAGCCAAAGTGTGAGAGTTTGTTTGAGATTTGTACTCCTATTATCTTTCTAGGGCTTTCTGCTCCATTTAAGGACCCACATGGGTCTGAAAAGAAGAATGAACTGCAGAGGTAGGCTCACTGGAGGCCCTGAAAAGTCACTGCATCGCTGTAGTGGAAAAGGTTGCTAAGATGGGAGGGAGACAAATAGTGGCAGTAAAAAACTGTTTTCACTCAGCTGTGGGATTCAGGGGCAGGAACCACAGCACAGGGGATTCTTGTAGAGCCTTCTTGTCCCTGTGGTGGTGCTGAGGGCCAGGACTGTGTCATTACAACACCACAGTGTCAGTAAAAGATGTCTGAAGAGAAAAACAAGGACAAGGTATTCAGAAGCATTCTGCTATTGAAGAAGACACAAAAGAAAAATAATAACTGAGGTCTGTGCAAGTGAAGAGGGGGCAGGCACGAAAACCCGGTGGTGTGTAGGGCATTGCTGTTTTCTGAGAGCTGGGATTTTGGCCCAGTTTCTCTAACCCTGACTCACGTGAAATTTTCCTATGAAGCATTTATATCTGGCAGCATATGAATATCATTAAAAGCAAAAATAACCAACAACTCATATTTAAATTATCTGAGTGTAAGAATGCTTTCCAAAGTGGTGTAACTTTCCTGTCACCTTTTAGGATTTCTTTATGACTTCTTAAAAACTGTTGGCAAAGTCACTTTGCACTTATGTCTTTGGTTCTGTTATTGGAAGGGTTTGTCCAGGTTAGTTGTGCTAATCTGGTTGTAATCATCATGATATTCTTACTGGGTCACAACAGCCAGGAAGCATCAATATTTCCTTCTATAATTAGCATATATCACATTGTACAAAGCATTTATGGAAATGGTTAATAAGCAAGGCACCATACTTATGCTGGTAATTTTGCTCTTAAATTTCCATTGAGCTAAGCAGAATAACAACAACATCTCTGTCACTAAATTGCAGTACAGGAGAAAACTGATTATACTTAAAAGTAAATTTTCGTGATGCCTCAAAATGCTGCCAGTTTAAAGGTTAATGCTTTGTCCTGGCCTGGGGTGTATGTACCTATGGCTGGTACCTTTCACACTGCAGCATTCAACAACATAGCTGTTTCTCAACCTAAACAACCTGAATCCTTTATTTTTGCACAGCAACAAAAGAAGCTCAAAACTAAAAGTTACAAAGCCATTTTTCCTACTGAAGTTCTTCAACCCAATGTCCCTGACATATTTTGCTGCTCTGTTGTGGAAAATAGAGTCATTTTATTAAGTGGGTGTTGTTTCTGCATGCCTTCCTCATCACATGGTCATGTAGGTTTCTTGCCTGTCACAAACTCGATTGTTATTTGTGTGTTTGAGTTATCTGTATGGACATCAGACACTTGTGCTTGCTGTACTGCTTCAACAGAGACAGTGAAAGCTGCAGCCTCCAGAACAACCCTATTCAACACAATGGCTTTCAAACTTGTTTCATCTGATTGCTCATACATCTTTGCTGGGGAAATGGATGGTAAAGGCATTCAGGGCAGAAAAGTTCAGGGCTTTGGCTGTTCCATTACAGATAATTCACAGAGAAACTGCCTCCTCTAATTTATTTTTTATCTTGATAAAATTACAGCCAAAAGTCTTTGACATTCTGGGTCTGCCTCAGTTCTCACTTGACAGTCATTGCAGTGGGAGATTCTGGCTTGCTTTTGACTACTTGCTGCTGTTGTGTGATGTTTGGATTAGACTAATGTGTGGGGAAAGCTCATTTGTTCCTACAGTTCAGGCCATGGGCTGGAATTCAGGCAATCTGAGCTCATTCCTGAGCTGCGCTCTGAGCTCTTTCTGCATGACCTTGAGTAAGAAACTTAACCTTTCTACTTTTTTATTCCTCCATTTGAAAACAGAGCTTTGCTTTCTCCCTCATCCCCTCCATGCCTCTCATTTATGTGCTGAATGCTTCTAAGGCCAGAGAACTCTCTCCTACCACGTGAATGTACAAATGGAGCTCTGTATTTCCTAGAGGCTGCTATGGTTTTCTATTACGACAATGTTAATAAATGGCTGTACAAGGTACGCTGTGTCTCAGGTACCTTTAATGAGCTTGGGGACCCTACTGGGAGGACAATACCATTAGCATTTCCCACCTCAGCACTGTTGTTCAGTGCAGTTTTGAATTCAGCTCAGCTGAAGTCTCTGGAGATGAGCTTAGTATTAGGATTGTTTTGATTGTTGATATAGTCAAATTAAAGATGCAAAGCTAGTAGCATTTAGAAGCATAGTCTGTACTCTTTTTGGTGGTATCCTACTGTGTTCCCTCTTTTGATATCACAAGTTAGTTAGTAATGATTACAGAAATATGAAACCTTCACCCTAACTTTCAATGCACATGCTGAATCGTGGCTGTTTATCTTACTAACACCACCACATTCTTGTTAATAACACACAGATGAAAGATCAGTACCTCCCCTCTCCCATACCACTGTCATCTGAATTATAATTGGATTTTCTGTGTTACTGATGATGACAAGCTGGTTTGGAGAAATCAGCCTTTAATGCATTTTTAAATTCACTGCTGAAATTCCGTGAAAATGTATGAAAGTTGACCTTGCCTTCATGATGACACACAGCACTACAATCTTCTAATGCACTTCCAGTGACACAATTTGAATTATTCTGAATAATCCTGGGAAGCTGTACTTACTGATTCCTGTGGAGCACAGAAGACCTAGTCCTGTAGAAAAGACTCATAGCTGAGTCTAGTTGGCACAACTGGCAGTCAGAATGAATTATTTGATTAGTACAATTAACTATTTTGGTATAGAAAAAGAAGCACATGTGAAAAGCATTGAGCTATTTGCTCTGACAAAAGACACATTTCTGCTCAGTTTCTGATATTAAAAAGTTAAGAGCATCTCTCTGAAAGCAAGAATTTACATGGGAAAGTGTGTTTTTCAGTACTTGATCAAGCTGGACTTGAATATCTGTTTTAAAATTAAGCATATGCTTTAAACACACATAGACTAAAGGAATCCCATGTTTAGATATTCAGTTGCAATGGAAATATCTTAAATGGATGTTTTCTGATAGTGACAGAAAAATGCCAGAGAGGAAAAAAAATCAATCTAAAGGAAGCACAAAGCATTAATCCACGAAGACAATCCAACAACAGCAGTGTCCCTTGCAAAAGATAATTAAATACATTATCAACATCTGTAAGGAAGACGCACAAGTTGGTGCATAATTGAAGACTTAAAAAATAAATCTGAAACATGGGAACCAAGATTAAAAACCTCGAACTGTGTTTCATTGTTTTAGTACTTCCATTTAGATACAAATACTGGAACTCAGTAGGGAAAATTCATTATTATAATCTTCTGGGCAAGATTCAGATGGAGTGTTTGAGAGAGAATCCTGCTAGGTGGGTCTCACGTCTCACATACACCAAAATAGCAAGAGCTGCATAAAAGTAATCAACAGGTAAAATATTGTTGCAAACTGTATGGGCTGTTTCTTTATATACCCTGAGGCTGGAAGCTTCACTGAGTTTTTTGGAAGCATCCATGTCTTTTGTATGCTCTAGAATTTTATTCTTTTGGCAAGATACAGGAAAAAATGTGCATTTGGGTTGGGGGGAGCAGGAGGAGGGAGAGGAATCTTTTGTTTATTCTCGGAAACCCCCTGGATATTTAATGAGAAAATCTCTTAGAAAACAGTAAATTTATCACTTACATTTTAGTATCAGTTTGTATAGGTAAAGGATATAATATGGGACCTTGGGAAATTTGGCTTTAATTCCCAGGGCTTCTCTTCAGGCTAACAGGAGTACTCATACTTAAAGTTCAGCATATGCTTAAGTCTGGACTAAAGCTTTTACCAAGACAGCAGTGTACTTCAGGTTATATCCAAGCTAGTTTTGACCTAGTACAAGGTAAAAAACATTAATCAAAAGTACTTCCATTTTTTCAGCTATCGTAACTGGTTGCTCACTAGCTTAGTGTGGTTAAAATACAGGAGATGAATGCAGAGATATCACCACCAGCAGCCACTCGGCAAATTTCTCCCTTGATGCCTGAGAGCACTGGCATTAAAGACCTTACAATGAAGGCCAGAGAGGCTGTCCAAAGATAGCTGGGTGCTGATTGTAACCAAGTACTTCACTGTGGCTGCGGAAGTAATGAATGGAGTTTTGTGTCTGCCTTAATCGAGCTAAAAGCTTCAGAAAAACCCTATCGTGTAGTACTGGGCTTGTCAAAATGACAAGGAGAAGCTGGAAAAAGCAGCAGGAGAGGTTTTTTCAAGAGGTATGTATTTGCATCAAATTGTTGCAAAACAAAGCTTCTCTTGGTAAAGCAGCCACTTGCAAATGGCTCTGGAGAGCTGCCTGAGACAGAGACAGCTGGGGTTGACGGAGATCAGGAGTGGGCTGTATAGGAAATGTTTTGATTTTGGCTTACCTGCTTTCTCTTCCTGTTTATTCTGCCTGTGCTTTTCCCTGGCACAGATAAAACATTAGAACAAGTCAAAATGCAGTCTTTGTTTCCCTGACTTTTTTCTCCCGCTTCCTAAGCTAGAATTTTAAATGTCATCTTTTCAAAATGTAGCATTTTTCAGAGAAGTGTTATAGCCTGGATCTTACTGAATGGAAAATGTATTTCCAGTTCAAAGGGTTTTAAAACAAAACAGGAAAGGCCAAAACAAATGAAAATGTCTGGGGGAACAGCAGCTGAATCTCTTCTTTAATTAGATTTTCAGATGTCTCTGTCAGCATCTTTTCCCCCTAAGGAATCTGGAAGAAAAATTGAAATCTAAATCTTTCATGCCTTCGAAATGGCTCCCTTCCCTGGCAGCACCTGTAGAGACAACGGGTTTCATGGCTATGGACAAAATGAAGACAAGATAAAAAACAGCCATTAGAGGACAGATTTTGACACTTGTAGAAACAAGGCTGTTCTAAAATGCTGTAGGAATCCCCAGACAATTTTTCTCTCTTGCGATCACCGTGTATAGCTCTACTCCTCCCGCTTTCCACTCAGGCAAGCCTCCACTATTTCTGCCTTCACAACAAGCTATTAAAAGACAGAGAGAACATGAGGAATATAAAGCATATGTTACCATTCCCTCCCATACTCACACACACATTTCCCTTTCTGATGTGGAAACCTGCCTGATGCCAGCCATTTACATGGGTACCTTTCATTCCAGTTTGGCATCCAGAGGATTGTTTCTCTCTCAAGGGAAAAGAAAAACAACCAACAACAACAAAAACAACAACAAAAAAAAAAAGGGAAAGGGAAACTAAACCAAAGTAAATGAAATGTCCTTTCAGCCAATTTTATGAACAGCCCTCAGCTATTAATTTACCGGCATTCTTCCAGACAGTGGCAGCTGCTTCAGCACACCAGGCTGTTGAGTGAGCTGCTCCATAGCAACAGCCAGCAAGCGTGAGCATACCCAGCATCAGCATCATGCAGAGACAGTGAGGGGGACTTTCAAAAGGAGTAAGAATGCTTAAAATTAAGACAAGGTACTGCATATTACCTGTGAAAGGGAGAGGATTGATAGCAGCCACCATTGTTGTACAGGTCAGCGTAGGCTGTGTAACAATTTGGCTGTCAGAAGCTGCCCTTAGCAAATGCATACTGCTATCTTGTGATATGAGAAAACCTAACCAGCGTTTCTACTGTGTGTGACACAGGTTATCCGGATTTTTTTGTATGTAAGCATGACTCACTTTTCTTGCTTTTAAAAAGGCTTGCAACCAAAAATATTTTTTTTTTAAAAATTGCTTTTTGTTTGTGAAACAGAGTAAGGAAATGACATCACTCCCCTCTTTTGGATTTTAAAAGCCTTTTTGGGCTGGGTGACTCTGACATAGAGTTTGATGAAGTTGCATGTACCAGGCTGGAGTTCCATTCCAGGAGTGGAAGATTAAAACCTGTTTCACATTAGCGGATCCCTTTTTTGGCATGGAGAATACTGGTCCCCAGTATCCTTGGCTTTTGGTTTGTGGTGGTATTGGTTGGTTTGTTTGTTTGTTTGTTTGTTTCCCAACTGTGATTTTTATAGTTTATTGTAATTTATTATTTATTATTGTAATTTATTGTTGCAGTTCTAAAACGTGTTAGATTAGCATCCCAGGATGCTAATGTAACAAAGTGGCAATCTGAGTTATACCACAGACCTGCCCTGCTGGGATTTTCTCTAGGCAGGAGAAAAAGAGTTTAATCGGCTCTGTCAATTCATTAGCCCTTCCTTTCTGAGGTAGGCACAAAGGGTCTCACTCAGTGTCGGTAGTGTTGGTAGATGTTCTGAAATAAGTACAAATCCAGCTCATTTTAAATCAGGCCACTGAGCAAGTAATAAACTGCTGTAAGCTGTTGTTATCATGTGAGGCTGAAGCAGTTCTTTTGACACCCCATCACTTTCAGGTAGTTGACCCTTCCCTGAGGACTTCTCAGATTTATCTTTTAGCTTTTTATGGTTTTAAATACAAGAGCTCACAACATGGGTTGTTCCAAAGACTTGTGAGGCAATCTCAATAGCTACCCATGCCCTGAGCACTTGCTGAAATGGGCACCATTCCCCACTACAATCCTGCTCTTCACTGTAAGGAAACTCAGGGGAAGTAGCCAGCATATTTTCCAGGAGATCCCCTAGTCTCCCTGATGATTGGGAAAGCAGGACTACAGCACACACCTCTGAGGACACCTCCTTCACAGTGCAGCTGAATCAACCTCAAGAGGGGGTCACTTTCTCTCCACTGACTACTGAGCAAGTTGATGAAGTGACCACTTTTCCTCTGGTAACGTCAGGTTGGTTCAGGTCACCCCACTGATCCAGTCTCTCAAAAGCAAAGCAGAATCTATTCTGACCCTTCTCTTTTTTTATCACAGGGAGACCTCCAGAGATCCCTCATTCAGGTGGATTTTGGAGATGGCATCGCTGTGTCATATGCCAATCTCAGTTCGACAGAAGATGGGATCAAGCACATCTACCAGAATGTGGGCATATTCCGAGTGACTGTGCTGGTGGAAAACAGCCTGGGTTCTGACAATGCTGTCCTCTACCTGCATGTAACATGTATGTATGTTCATGCTTTTTAGCTTCTGTAATTCTTTAAACAATTATTACTTGTCCTTAGAGATGACATTTGGGACTTTGAAGGCAGGAGCAAAGTGATGGGATATGATGAGTGTCTGTCTGTCTTCCAGCAGAGGACTCGAGACTGAGAGGAACCACAGGCAATAGTGATATTTGGTTTTTACACCCTGTTCCACCTCTAATTTTGTGTAGTCTAATTTGGGACACCTCAAAGGAGTGTCCAGTCCTTTCTGAAGTGCACCTTCATTAGCATGTTTACACTTCCAGAAAAATAAAGACATCTATCATCTTTAATCACTTTTAAAAACTTGACTTTTACTTTGTACACGTGTTTTGCCCTCTAATGAAATACAACTACCTCTGGGATTGAAACCAGTGCATTTCAGTCTTTCTGTTGTCATAGGAACCAAAATCTTGGTATTAAAGAGTATTACAAGAAAAAATATTATCTGCACATTGCCCTTCTGCTGTTCTATTTAACCTTTATATACTTCAGCTGTCTCTGATTTACAACTGAAATGTATCTCAAGTCTTTTGCATAAAACCAGCAATGTGTTATTCGATATCTGTTCTAGCACATGGTTATGAATGCAAAGGGTCATCCTATTATTGAAGTTTTGTAACATCCCTAGTGGATTTTGTTTGGAGCCATCATTTTCTTTATACAGTGAGGGTTTTTTTGTCAGTTGTTTATGTTTTCAACTATGTGCCTCTGTACCAGGTTTACTGAAAAAAAGGAAATTCCAAAACTGAGTTATGTTTACAGAAATACCACTTATGCTCTACCAAATCAACCCCACATATTGTCTAGATAATTTAGCACATTCCATATACTTTAACTTAGTTTTGGAGTTACTTCATACAGCATGAAAGCAGCTGCCTCTTCAGGGGAAGAGGGCAGCTCTTCATTGGTGCACCGTCATATCAACAGATGGGAGCAGTGGGAGGCATAGCTGTCAGAGACGGGAAGTTTATGAGGGAGCACTGGAGAAGCAGGAGCAAGTGTCTCCCTGAATGCCTCCCTTCAGATCACAATCGTAGTGTACCATTTATGATTCCCTAACCTGATAGATCCCAGTCTATGACAAACTTTTATGTCACATAATCCTTCAGCCTACCACGTGTTTGAAAAACTTGTAATACCTTACAGAAATAACTATATTTGTAAATTAGCTTATTGTGAAGCTCAGGATTTTGATTTGAAGACTTAGATTGTGTCACTTGTGTGCTGAGGCACTGATGAAACTAGGTAAATTCTCAGTTGTTTTTTTTTTTTTGAGTTATTTATGTATCATATCATCCTAAGTAGGGTAGAGAAGAGGACTTCTTCTCAGA